TCCAATTTCTGGAATTTGCCAGAACCAATTTTTGGAGAGACATGTCCGTGACCAAAATAGGACTCGAACCAAGGATCTTTGCCGGATCACTAGGCTATCTTTCCTTAAATCAGTATAACATTTCAAGTAATAATTGATTGTTTACGAGTTATTTAGTTATTAATTGTTATTATGTTCGCTTTGCTTGGTAAATAAGCAGCAGTTTTCAAAATATAAATTTTACATGATTTTGTACTATAATAATAGATATACTCGTTGATGAGGCAATAAGCAAAATGATCTTTATATAAATATATAGGTCCATGTGAACATGGGTTGTGCATGTATGATACCTCACCGCCATATAATGTTGAAGATCGAAACGACCCGTCTATACTGACATGTGTTTGTGACCCAGGATGGACAGGACAATTATGTGACCAAAGTAAATAATTACAAGTCTTTATAGTTTATGGAAAAAAAAAACTATTTGTATTTCATGAAAATTCGTTTATAAACGAGTTTTGGAATATCTGACATGTATGTTTTGTCGTGTAAGATTATTTTTGCAACATAGATTTCAATGGATGTGCATTTGGAACAGATTGCTGCGATGTAAATCACACAATTGCATTAACATTCAAGGAATGTTAATAGCATAAAGTTGAAATTTGTCATTCTTAAGTTGTGGTCACAACTTATAACCTTGAGGCCACAATTAAATAAATTGCAGCACCGACTTATTATTAAATTTTGGCCACAATTTAAAATATTAAGGAATTTCATGCAATGTATTACATGTATCTAATTTAGTGATGTATCATTAAGCATGCTAATTTTAATAGGGTGTGGCCTTGAGACCTCAATATATTTAACTGAGGTCACAATTTAATATGTTGCGTCAAGAAAATTTTAAAAAAGGTATTGCAAATGTCACCTGTTAGCCGACCGTCGTATAGTCGGGATAAATAATATTTATAGACCAATCCACTTTAACAACTAATGTTGTATCGAATAATGAGAAACTTTGACTTGCGTTAATAATCCTTTTCAAATGTGAAAATAATTAAGATATTTTGAATGTTTTTAGATAAATGTAAGGCAACATGGCGGATGATATTTGAACATGATTCAAAGGGCAATGTTCTAGCTGGCAGTAAGTCGGATTTAAAGAACGCTATAAGAAAGGTTTGACTTCTTTAGTTTTGACATACAAATCAAAATTAATTATAATTCTATTTTCTTTTCTCTTCTTGCATTAGTACAGTTGATATTTTAACATTGTTTACATAAAATAAAATACAAAACTCCACGATACCGTATCAATGAACTGATAAAATTGCATCTACATTGTATATATATGAGTTGTATTCATTTATAGTACCAGTAAAGTAAAAAAATCTGAAAACAAAGTGATCCCTCGGAAGCATTAATCACAACAAAATTACATGAAAATTGCAGACTCGGTTTGATTGAGTCTGTACATGAGGGATAATGAAAAAGTGCAACATCCCTCACGCCCCCTAGCACCGGCTTGAGCGGTACTTAATTTTTAACACTTAATATAGCTGGCATCAATGATCCCGAAGGACCAGAAAAATATAACAACACTGAAGTGAAGTACGGGGCAACTTTTTATAGCTGCCACACGGCACTTGACACCTGCTGTTGTGAAGTATAAAAATCTGAAAACAAAGTGATCCCTCGGAAGCATTAATCACAACAAAATTACATAAGAATTGCAGACTCGGTTTGATTGAGTCTGTACATGAGGGATAATGAAAAAGTGCAACATCCCTCAAGACCTCTAGCACCGGCTTGAGCGGTACTTAATTTTCATCACTTAAAAGGGCTGGAGTCAATATCCCGAAGGACCAGAAAAATATAACAACACTGAAGTGAAGTACGGGGCAACTTTTTACAGCTGTCACACGGCACTTGACACCTGCTGTTGTGAAGTATAAAAATCTGAAAACAAAGTGATCCCTCGGAAGCATTAATCACAACAAAATTACATAAGAATTGCAGACTCGGTTTGATTGAGTCTGTACATGAGGGATAATGAATAAGTGCAACATCCCTCACGCCCCCTAGCACCGGCTTGAGCGGTACTCAATTCTCAACACTTAATATAGCTGGCATCAATGATCCCGAAGGACCAGAAAAATATAACAACACTGAAGTGAAGTACGGGGCAACTTTTTACAGCTGCCACACGGCACTTGACACCTGCTGTTGTGAAGTATAAAAATCTGAAAACTAAGTGATCCCTCGGAAGCATTAATCACAACAAAATTACATAAGAATTGCAGACTCGGTTTGATTGAGTCTGTACATGAGGGATAATGAATAAGTGCAACATCCCTCACGCCCCCTAGCAGACATACTGACCCAGCATTATATGCTAACTGACGTAGTATTTAATCATCATATAAGTACAAATATGCATATACATTCTCAAAACTTCCAAAATGTTATCGATCTCATAAAATGTAGATGATACTAAAAAGACCATTTAACTTTTATAAAGGAAAAGCAGATGACAATGCAATTACCATTTTTTAACTGTTTATGTTATGTAAATTATTTCAATATGAGAAATAGCCCTACAAAATATATATATGCTTTTAATTTTAGGGTGCTGAGATTAAAATCTTACGAGAAGGTAATGTCGTAAGTGCGACCACCACTACTACTATGATTGTAGCAGACGATATTTGTGGACAGTTTTTTCATCACATATCCAACGGGTCGTGGGAAACTTTCCAGGTCAATCATTAATGCTCTTCGAGATTTACAAATCACACTTTTAGCTTAATTTTAATGTTGATGAAACTTTAATTGCTGCTTCAACCAATTATATTTTCAAACTGATTATGAAGTTTTAATAATGTTTCATGGATCGGAACATTAAATAATTTTGTATCTAAATAAGCATGTATTGGAAGACTGAACAATTACCATTACTAATCAAGAATGCATTAGAAGAGTGAATTATAATTTCAAATCATAGACCATGTAATGAATGAGTAAATATTATTATTATTATTATTTTATAAATTTCAAGCCATCTCAGAAAGACGCAAACTTGTGGTTTGGAACTTTTTGTACCACATGAGATGCTTCAACGTCAGGTTATGTTGAACACCACACAGATTCAGTTGACAGTCAGTCAAGTTTTAGAGTTAAGTGGTTCGCCAGGTAGTTACTTAAACCATCTTTCTCAATTCAAAAGTTTGCTTTTGCGCTAAATGTTATACATATTTTCATTTCAAAGTTTATATTTTTTGCGCTAAATGATTTAGATTTTTTCATTTCCAAAAACTTTACCTTAAACATGCAAGTACTTGTATTAAAATATTTTCGAAAATTCTGAAACATATACATTAGCAAATGGTATTACGATAATTAAGAACACGAACAATTCTCTGTAACATAGTCGTATGAATATTATACTGCATTGGCGTTAGAATCTTCCAGCGTTCTGGTGGTAAAAAGGCGTTTTTCCGAAAAAAGACAACTGCAGAAATTCTTTTTTTTTAAATCAGTCCTTCAACCAATAAATTTTACGTCACCAATAAATAGCAAAATTTGATTAACAAGTGGAATAAATTGATAACGTATGCGTTAATCATGGATGTACTAAATACTCATGCATTTATTCATTTAATTAAAATAAGAATCTAAAATGTCTACAATATTATGTGTATATAAGACTCAAATGCAGTAACATTTACGAACTACAATATTCTTGATGAGAAATTTCAAATACCAATATAAATTGCTTTAATTACAAAAGAAACAAATCAATGTAATTCTTCATTTTGATATTGTAATGGTATTGTAATTTTTAATAAATACTGAACACAGGGAGGTAGAAGACAAACATATGACTGACATCCCAGCAACTGGATATGATATCAATGCACAAATACACGCTGTTAAACAAAGTGGTTATGATGTGACAGTTAGACAAGAATCGCCTAATGAGGAAGAATATTTCAGAGTAGATAACCTAGAGATTTCGTCAGATGACAAAAACATTGTCGCCCAAACAGTGTGGAACCTTGTCAACGAAAAATCCAATACTGTGGTCAAAATTTCGGTAAACACATTTCCTGTTAAAAAAAACATTTTCTAAAAGGTTAAAAGTGTTACACTTTATTAAATCTCTACAACAAACTATCGATTGTTTTGTTTGTTTAAAACTAAGAACGAGCTATATGATATCGGTTTGTATACTTTTAAGTTCTGCTTTCAATATTTGATATCTAGCAATAATTTACGTTTCAAACTCATTCAAATTGAAAGATGCAAATATATATACTTTAAATACTTTCTCACTTCTAGACACCGAATAAATGGTTGTTTACAAACTTATGTAATTTTGTTGTGATTAATGCTTCCGAGGGATCACTTTGTTTCCAGAATTTTGTACTTCACAACAGCAGGTGTCAAGTGCCGTGTGGCAGCTGTAAAAAGTTGCCTCGTACTTCACTTCAGTGTTGTTATATTTTCTGGTCCTTCGGGATCATTGATGCCAGCACTATTAAGTGTTGAGAATTGAGTACCGCTCAAGCCGGTGCTAGGGGGCGTGAGGGATGTTGCACTTATTCATTATCTCTCATGTACAGACTCAATCAAACCGAGTCTGCAATTCTTATGTAATTTTGTTGTGATTAATGCTTCCGAGGAATCACTTTGTTTCCAGAATTTTGCTTCTAACGGACTGGTCGAATTTAGCGAATATGTGGTAGGAGGAACTACAAGGACCTCAATCGACTTGAGCAAACGTGAAACAAAATGGTATTTTGATCCATGTTGGCAGTTCGTGTATTCCCATGATAAGAATGGAATACCTACAGGAGGATCAACACTCCAACTGATTAATGCAGTTAAAGGTGGACATCGTGTGAAAGTAATGATCAATAACATACTATCTCAAGCTACTAATGTAATCGTAAATAAAAACGTGATTACTGCATTTCTACCAAATATGCTTAAAAAGACAAGCAATATCAATATCAAAGCAATAAGGGATTGGATGTTGGTAAATACAAATGGTAAAGTACAGACAGCTAATTACTTCATTGACGAGGGGCAAGTTTCATTGTTAAGCTGGGCTACCGATATGAAGTGTGACCGTCGAGAATGGAATACGGTACTTGATGTTGGACCTATTTCTGTAAACATTGGTTCCAAAGATCAGCTTGCGAATGATATTAAGGTAATAGGGTTTTGGTCATTCTTTGATGAAAACATATGCTAGAAAAATCGAAATACATATAATAGTAATACTAACAAATCTTTAATCAAATAAATGTGTATAATGCTTGTTAAATGAGTACGAAAAATCGACAAAATAGAAGATCTATCATTATTATATGTTTAAAATGACACCTTAAAACATTTTTATCTATGTATTATCTTTGAGCAAGAATCATGTTTGCCTAATCTACTCACGGTATGGGAAAAACTAAAATAATTGGTTGAGATTTAGTGTTGAATTTTGGCGACGCCGGTGAGCGGCGTCGTCTCTTATTCGGCCTATGGAAGGAGCTGTTATTATTATCAGTTAATGTCATGTTGTGTTAATTAGTTTTATTTTGATTCGTAAAAATCAAGTAAACGAATATGTTGTAACATTTTTATTGAATAACTTTATGTAAAAAGCATGTGCATTGTGATATTATTTTCACGAAATTGCAGGCTCAGTTTAACAGCTTGTCCCTTAGCTTTATTGGCAATACTAAAACCCGGATTTCGAATATCGTTGTGGTCTACATTGATGCCGTATTCTTTTTCATTCATTTATATATTTTCAAAATTTTCCTACAAGAAGAGCGTTCACCTGCAAATGAGTATTAGGATAGGTAATGGAACTATTGTAAACGATTATCCTATTTATGTTATCCACATTACGTTTATCTATTGCACAGAATGATTGTTTTTTATTTAATTTGTAAGGACAAACTTCTTTCAGGATGGTGCAGATGTACGATATGCCTGGATAAGTTCTACTGGGGAGTATACTTTAATTGAAGCCGACAACATAGAATTTAATGGTTCTAAATCCGACTTCGGTGCACAGCATATACGTTCCATACTTCTTAAACCAAACGGAAACGAATACAAGTTTGATGTCACATTAAATAAGCTCACCTGGTTGTATACAATAACAACTAACTCTGGCGTGGTGGGAAGCAGTAGGTGGGCTATTGATGACCATCTTTCACGAGGAACGACATCTGCTAACACTAGGGTGGTGTGGTTTGTCGCCAAATAATTAGTTTCGAAATGATTTGCTTTAAAAAAGCACTCATTAAATTGACTTTTATTTTAATATAATGATTGATTATGCACCTTTTATAAACAAATGTATATATGGGTTTTGCTTCACATATAGCATTATAAACATCTAATGACTGTTTTTTTTGTTGTTGTTTTTTTGTTGTTGTTTTTTTTTTTTCGTTTTTTTTTAAGTAATATGATCTTGAAATATCGTAGATAAATACTTATTTGCTTATGTTACTCTTTGAAAATAAAGCTGTTTACTTTATGTTTTTATTTGACAACATGCTAATTTCCCTTTATCCCACCACAAACAAGAATGGAATGTTTGAGTGTCTAGAGTGCCGTACAAGTCACCATATTCCGAGTATAGAGACCGAAGATTGGGCAGATTGGTTCCCTGTCGACGCCTTCTGTGTCATACAGTTACAGACCCTAGCCAGGTTCCAGGACTCACAAGTTTGCGAGGTAAACTGATATAAACTATATGACAAATATCACTGATAATATTTAATTGCTTTTTTATTCAAATTGATTTTAAAAGAAAATATAGATTCAAATAAAAAAAATTAAATGATATATCAAAATTAACAGAAAACGTCTTTGTTAATAACAAAAGATAGCCATAATTTCTTCCAGAATGCATTGTCTTAATTTCGTAAATATTTTTCTTTCCTCCTTTTATACTAATGTTAATGTATATTTTAAAAAGTTAATAAAGCTTCAAATTACACATAGACTACAACCATGTTAATTCATTTACTTCAGGTACATGAAGATAAATTCAAGGAGTATTAATAGCTTTCATCACCGCGACTTATTCTGCCCCGACTGTATCATAGCAAAGCACACAGTAGCCCCATGTTGCGCTAGAAGCAACCGTGATGCCACTACTGAAGTCAAAAAACATATAAACGACTTACTTGGTCAGCTTAGATTACAGGAAGAACACGCTATAAGAATTGGCAACTCAAATGTTGCGGCCGCTCATACCAATGATTTACTGCAGAAGGTATGGGAAGCCGACCATCTGGTAGACAGATTTCACAAACAAATGAAGAAAAAGATACAAGACACAAGAGTGCAGATCGAGAATGCAACAAAAAATCAAACCTCCAGATAAAGATCATTTAAAAACCACTCAATCCCTTATTTCGCAGACCAAAAAGTTGGTGGATGATAAATTGAAGGCAGTCAATGTTAAAACGCAGGAAGGTCAGCACGATTTGTTACGTCTTTGGAAACCATTACAAGATCAAGTTGACCATTTTCAAACTGTCCTCACTGCAGTCGAAAAGCGGCCATTTTGTGTGAATGTTCAAACTGATGATCAGTTCATAGAGCTGGTGAATTTAAATCTTGATCCAATTGTGGTCGTCAATGAGAGCGCTCAATGGACTCCGCTCAATCCTACAACGGTCCGAAGAGTCCCAAGTGGGAGTTCATTTAATTCTAGACGATTTCATAGTATGAGGGAGAAGGAGAAAAGTGTAAAGCTTAATGATAAGTACAGTGCCCATGTATCTCTACGTTCAAATGATATAAGCACAAGTTTTCCTAGATCAAGAGCAAGTTACCGCACCGTCTCTATACACAATCAAGCCATCGAATCGGCAGTGACTCCTCGACAATCAAGCCAATATCCAATTCCTGTGAAATAGAAAATACAAGAGAGAAACCCAACAATTTTACCTAAGTTGACGGCGGGAAGTCTTACTGCTGGCCAAACGTCGAAGATATTCAACATCAGGTCACTAAGTCTTAAGGGAATCAGTCAACAGTCCATATTTGAGTTTCCATGCGAAGATATCGTCGTATTAGCTAACAATATAATAACTTTAACTGAAAGAGCTGTTCGGAAGTTTTCCCTCAGGTATCAGTTCTTGCAGAGTATGGCATTGCGCGCGCCTATAAAGTTGTGTTATACACGTGACGAATCTAACAACATACTCGTGCTCGACAACAGTTGTGGTGTATCGTTGATTTCTACACATCCACGTCTTCAGCTCCTTTACAGAATTGAGACGGATCGAGCGTAAGTGAATATTTAATCAAAGTTGAAATTAATTTATTTGCGGTCCATGTAAAAATGTTTTCATCAAAGGCACATGCAAGAACGCTGAACCTTCAATTTATTACAGGTCTAATCTAGCATGCGAGAGGAGTTGATTTATTGTAAATCTAACAGTTCCATGTAATAATAATACTATATAACATGAAGGTTTGTCTTAACTTGCTTACAAATAGAATGAAAACTTTTTATGTAAAAACTATTATTTTCAAATTTTTTTTCATTCGAAATTCTTATTATCAAACATTACAAGAAGGTTATTTACAATTAGTTTTCATTGATCTGCTGAATCTCATACTCGCATTTAAAGGTATACAGGAATGTGTCACATGAGAACAACAATGACCGAGTACGTATGGAACAGAGAGGACTGCATCGACGTCATGGTCGTGACGTATGAGAAGTTACAAGTCACGTACGGCCTCATCGAGGAAATAACGCTAACACCAGCAAAGGTATGGGAGACTATATTAAGCACATGCATTGTTAATATCCGTAACTTTAGCCTACTTTTGGTCTTTATATTCGAAAAAGAACTATTGACAAATGATTGTTTATTTGTTCATTTTAACTGAAACGTTCATAACACGTGTAAGCAAAACCACTGTGACAGTAAATTTCCATTACTTTCTCAGCATCTCTGCGTTCGAATCTCGCTTTAAGCGTTTATTTATTTCGTATTAATAAACGACCAAAGAGGTTTTAATTGAGGTCAGTATTGGTTGCATTCGTGGATGACATATGAAATATCACCATTTTACTCATATTTGATCGCCGTGATATGAAATCATACAATAAAAATAAAAATTTAAATAAACTAAACATTTTTTTTCAGGTAAAGACTATAAGTGGTAGTAACGACGACCCGTTCCTAAAAACATGACCTCAATCTGCACTGCCCCTGACAACCGAAAACTTCTCATCGGATCGGAAGCTGGTGTAGTCTGCATGAGCAGGAACGGTGACATCATATGGACACTGCCCACGCAAAAAGTCGTCTGCAGTATTAATAGCAGACGAGGTTTGGTCTACGCGGCGATTTAGAAAGATAAGCGCGTGTTTATACTGGACCAGCACGGGAATATGATGGTAGAAAATATTTTCCCAGCCGCGTCTACGATTATCAAGCCGACAAAAGTGTCTGTTGGTAAAACATCTCTGATTGTCTGTGAGTTTACTGATACAGACACTAATGGGATGAAGAGCATGGTCCATGTCTTCAGTTTATCATTTTAATCACAAACACAACATGCAGACGTTTACAAATCATATTAATCTGTTTATTTAATACATTTTATATTGACTTACTCAAACACCATGATACATTACTAGCTTTTTACTAGACCATCTCCATAAGTCGAGCGAGTAGCCCATCTTACCCATTTAAAGTTTGAGAATAGGTTGAGGTCATAATTACTATCCCATATTATATCCATTTAAGTATTTACTTAACCATAACATCTATAAAACTAACGTTATATTATATTTTGATTTATTATTCCTGTCATGATATAGTGTGTCTTCAGGTAAAAAAAAGCAAGTGTGAATCAAAATTATTATATGAGCGAATTTCATTACTCATTTATCTATTATAACATCATCACATATGTTGTTTTTCGTTGTTTTCTTTTCTTTCCATTTTGGGCGGTGAGGGGGGTAAATCATATCAACAATATGCCATTTGGTGACTTTCCCTCTTTAGTTTATAGAAAAATATTAGCCCAATACGAACATTATTTCAACATACGAGTGAGTAGGGGTCAAAGCCCAATACGAACAATATTTCAACATACGAGGAGGGGGCAGTATAGTTTGATAGTTTCTTCACTTTAAGGTTATGTATTTTAGCAGGAGTAGAAAACGAATCTTTACCAAATCCTAAAAGGTAATGATTATTCTGACACAGAAAATAGTCCATAAAATTATTAATCAAACTGGATAAAAACTTAATATGAGAGTTATTCTAAATTTGAATAGTTACTGTCGTTATTGTAAATACAATATTATACATGTACATGTAGTACTATCTGTCACGGACTAGACTATTCACTTATAAGAGGGAAATGTGTTACGCGACCGGATAACTCAGGGTACGGTTTTCCGAGGTCCCGGGTTCGAGTCCCAGTCAGTCTACACATTTTTCTCACCCTGTTACACTATCTATAACTAACTGAATGTAACCGCTTCACCCTCATATCACCACCATTACCTGTCTGTATATTTGAACTATCAGGTTGTTTCTAAAACTGTTTGTCATTTTGATAATAACTAACTGGACCAATTATTACAACATTTCTATTTTTATATGAATCCTCATCGTCGCGATACGCGATAAGCACTCCCCTTTTTTTGCTGTTCACTAAATTATTATGTTTACTGGTAAATGTCGTTTTGTTTTAGTAAATTCAGCAAGTTTGTAAGATTTAACAGTGTATAACAGTTATATACTTATGTCAGTGTATACATGTAGTTAAAAAACGTTTAAAAATTAAACCCTGAAAGCTTATTCATTTGTATTTAATTTCTGAAATGTATAAATATTCACAGGCTTTTTTTGCATTTTAGAAACATTTTGTGTAATTTAGAACAAGCACAAATCGGACGTCACAATGAACATTTGATGTAAATCTTGTTTAGTGAGATTCATTTTTTATTTTTTATTAAACAGAATGACTTTAATGTTAAATAAAACTTTAAAATCTCTAGTTTAAATATTTGTGTTGATATCTAAAATTGTGTGATGTATGCAAAACATACAAGACACTGTTCAATGGTATCAGATATTTTGGATCACCGTGTATACATAAAAGTTGGACTAGTTAACCTCAACCCTCAATCGCGCAATATTTCATAATCTTTCTTTGACATTTGATGTATTTTTGAAAAGATAACGGTCTTATAAAATAGAAATATTGAAAGAAAAAAATACGCTTGTACCTATTGATTTGTAAGTTTCTAACGTTATATTTTCTTAGAAAATATTTTTAAAGATATTGACTTTAAATTTGTATACATTTTATTACGTTCCATGTATCGTCACGGTGTATCGTAAATGTATCGAAACAGTTTATCGTATCAGTGTATCGTATCAGTGTATCGCCAAAGTGTATCGTACCATGGAGCTAAATATAATAACTATAATATATAATTGTTTATATATCTGTGGTCGTACCAATGTATCGTAAAACTACACCGTAACAATGTATCGTAAAACATTGATCGTAACAGTAATATGTATACGGAAACTTTCCATATATCTCTGTTTTCAAAATAAATATATTCAAAAATCGAATTACATTGAAATAGAAAATGGGACTCCGTGTCAATTTATCGTAGCGGTGGCCTAGTACCCAGGGATCATGGGTTCGGGCCCTGATCCGTTCAGGACCATGTTTCTTTATATGACACTGGTACTGGTTGGTTCCAGGACTCGAAAATGATAAATATAAGTTGCGAAAACTCGTTTTGCAATCTAGCTTAAATAAATATGTTTAAATAAGCTGTATTCGTAAATGTCTCAATCCCTTTAGGTCATACACAGGTCAGCAATGATTTTATGCACTTTTGACCAGGGCATATGAAAAAGCTTTAACTACATAGTTAAGTACATTTTGATGTGGTGATTTTACAAATACCCCCTAATCAATAATCCTATTTATTGAATTCACGATGACCTTGCTTGTCTAGTTGTAGTTTTGAAATCCATGTATGAATCAATATAATTGTACTACAACAGAAAAATTCCCCTATACCTAGTGTAGGTAGAATTAATTATGACGTTTTTTAAAATTATATAGATGTAAGGTATTAGAATTACAAATATATGATAAACTTATTAAGTGAATGTAAAATGTGGAATGTTATAATACACAAAAAAACGTCATCTATATACAAAATGTATTTTCTCTGCCTTTTTTTACTCGGCATAACTTCAAATCTTGAGACAATTTATTTTTATCTTTTAATTAAACC